ATTCAAAGTTTTATAGCCTCTGGTCAAATAAGCCTTTTAAATTTTCAAAAGTTATCGAACCTCTACTTAATATAGACACCCCATTTTGTTTGAGATTTAAAATTTATTTTATTTTATTGATTGTTTATTTATCTTTTCAGTAAAAAAAGGTAGAGACTTGGTTGAAAAAAGATTGTTCAGTTTGATAAAAGTCTTTTAAAAATAAAATTCAATCCTCATCCAACTATCAAATGGACTCCTTAAAGAGTTTAATCCTAGTTGAAACATTGTTTAGACTTTGATTCTCATCTATAAGTTGGTTCCAATATACATAGAGACAAAGGGAGGAATTAGCAGAAAAGGGATAGCAGAAATAATTAGTCTAGTGGAGAGATTTTAGATTGGGAAGAAGTTTGTTTTTCATGGATATTTGGTGATTTATTAGAGTGGATTTGATTTAATCTAGGGTAAACAGTGCCATTGAAGGGTTCAAGAAGCTAAGAAGTTTCAAGTTAGTGTTTTTTGGAAATTTCTAGAAATTTTCAAAACCCATTTGAATTTTTCAATGAAAATTTAAAATTTTTGGCTAGTTTCTGACAAGAAGCCTAGATTCTAGCAACTTGTCAGTGGCCATTCGCAGTATCCAACAAGAAGCTCAGATCTCGAATACCTTCTAACAATCATTCCTAGTTTTCGGTATTGTTTTTCAAAAATTTATTGAGATTCATCCAGTTGTTCATATGTTTTAAAGAATGAGGAAAAGAAAAGCTAAAGAGAGAGAAGGGGAAAAAAAAATCTGAGGAAGAAAGGAAAAATTGAAGCTTTTATTCCTGGGAAAAACGATGTCATTTTGCCTTTTAAAAAAATTCCTAGATCCTTACGTCAACTCGAGAGAGACCCGCACGCCAACCTGACCCTTAGCGCCTTGACCCGTGAGCTGTCCTCTCAAGCCACTTCCTAAGCCATCAAGCCAAGTCTAGAGCCGCGCCTCTTGAGCAATTTCTTATGTCTGCAACCAAGCCACGGTACCAACCAAACTAAGCCTAATTTTTTTTTTAGTATTTTCTTTTCAATTTTATTTATTTATTTTTTAGTCTAGTTTATTTGTTTATTTACTTATTTTTATCACTTATTTATTTTTGAAATATCTTACATGAATAAATTTTTAGGAAAATTAGAAAAAAATTATAAAAATAATTATAAAAAATAATGATAATAAAAATACATAAACAAGTTTAATGAAATTTTGGGAATGAATGAAAAATTATCCAAGGATGAGATTTTTAAAAATTTCAAAGGGTAAATTTTTTAAAAAAATTTAGGTGAGAAATTTCTCTAAATTTAACCCAAATAGTGAAAGAATTTAGATGAAATTTCAATAAAAATAATTGTATTCTTTTTCCAAATAAAAATTAAAAAATATAACTTAAAATTTTGTGAGAAAATATTTGACAATTATCTAAAGATGAAGTCTCAAGAATAATCATAAATGGTTGAACTTCTATGAGATTTTCAGGTGAAAAGTTTTCTTTCTAAATTAAACCCAAATTTGAAAAATTTAGAAATAAAACTTATAATTAAAGAATAAATTTCGAGGATAAAATTCTTAATAATCGTAAATGGATGATTATCTAATATACTTTTAGGTGAGAAAATATTTTTAATTTGGCCAAATGGTGAAAGAATTAGATATATTTTTGACAAAGAAGAATTTTACAAGAAATAATTGATCAAGTTTTTCGATAACGGAGCCTTTTCAAGAAAACAAATAGGATTCTTTAATACTCTTAGATGAAAAAGTATTTTTAAGAATTCTACCAGATTGATGGAGAAGTCTTAAAAATTATTTTCAATATTTAAAAATTAAAATAAAAACCATTAGAACTAAGATGATTGTTAGGATAATTTAAAATGAAATGGTACCATCTTAGGATAAGAGTTGTGGGGGTGTTATAACCTTCTTCACACATAATCAAACTACTGAATCTAGTTTTTTTTAGAAGATCAAAACCTATTTTTTAGGGGTCCTTAGTCAAGCTTAAGAGCTCCTTGAAATGATAGATTCATTAGGTGATCAATCACATTTAAATAAAAAAGATTAGTGGTGATTCTTTAATTTGTGTCTAGCTATAGGTTTACAGATTTATATATTATGGCACTTAGAGGAACCTTTAAATTTTCAAAAATTGTCAAGCCTCTGTTTAGAGAAGCATTCCAAATTTTCAACAAAAAAAAATGGTGTTCGTATTCATAACATCATCCAGACAAAATTATTGTTTTTCAGTCTTTACTTTATTCTTAATTCTCAGTAATGTGTAAAGAGGGATAGTTGTAAACATCTATTTTGTTTTAAAAATCAAATTTGTGTTAAAATAAATTCAAATTAATTTTCAATTTTATTCGAGTTCGGTTAAATATGTTAATTGAATTCACCAAGTTATTTTCATACCAAATTATTTTCATTAAGCTTTTAAATTATCATTATTATTATTATTATTATTATTATTATTATTATTATTATTATCATTTCTTTTATCTAACAGCTTTTTCTTTTCTTTTTAACTTTTATTTATTTCTTTCCTTCATTTTTTACACAAAGTCATAGTGCATTTAATACACTAAAAATCCTCTGTCACTTTCTAATTTTGCAAAAAGGAAGAATCAAAAGTCTTCAATGGTGCTTTAAAATCCCTGAAGGCCTTGGAAAAAAACAAAATAAACTTTGAAAATCTGAGATCTCAATCCCAAAAAATCTGGGATTTGAATCCCAATGAGCTTTATAAATAGAGCCAATTTTTGCAATCAAGGAACAAAGAACTTAGAAGAATAACCTAGAAAAATGCTGTAAAAAAGACACACGAACAGAGACAAAAAACAATATTTTGAGATAGAGCTAGGGTGTTTTGCCAACATAAAAAAAAAGGGAAACACACATTAGTAAAAAAAATCACAGTCCTCTTTAAGTAGAAGAACCAACAAAAAAACCAAAAAAAAATTATTTTTAGAAACCAAAACCAAAAAAGCCAAGAGCATTTCCTTTCATTCAAGGTGTTTGGAATTTTCTTTTTTAAAATATAGTTTCAGAAAAGGATTTAGGAAACAAAAAGGATCATTTTGATTTTTTTTTGAATTTTTGAAAATCTTTTGGGGCTATTGGAAAGAAAAAGTTTAAATTTTTTTATGATCGAAAAATTTTTCAGCTGCTAGAATTTGGGAATTAAATCGGGATTTGAAAATAGTTTGAAGTCTTTGACGACAACACGACGATGACTGATCGAAAATTGAAAAATAGAGGCTATCAATAAGAGAAAATTTGAGTTTTAGAGATAGAGGCTCTGAGGTAAAGAGAAAGAGGAAAAAGGAAAAAATTAAAAAAAGATTTTGGCCTTTTATAGCCCTTTCAAAATGACGTCGTTTTGGCGTGCTGACCCATACCCGACCCATTCCAGGATCCATGCATGGATTTGTGCCTGACTTAACTCGATGGTGAGTTTTTCTTTTTCTTTTTTGATTTTGTTTTGTTTCATTTATTTTATGATTTTTTTTAGAAATAAATAAGTAATGGTAAAAATATAAAATTAAAATAAAGGGTAGGTTTATTAAAACAAAAATGAATGAAATCTTAAAATGTATAATTATAAAAAATTTTTGAATTGATTTTTTTTTTACAAGCAAAATATTTTTTGAACTTCGCTAAAGTATGAAGATAATTCAAGTAATTATAATAATAATTGATTATTTCAATAAATATTCTAAAAATATAATTTTTAAAGAAAATTGAACTAGTTCAATTTTCTTTAATTAATGTAAGTAAAAAAAAATATTTTTAGATTTTGTTGGTAAGTCGAGATAGTCTAAAAATTAGTTTTTACTAAATAAATATTTATTTAAATAATAAAAAAATTAAAAATAAAAATATTTCTTTAAATAAATTTCTTAATTATTACAAAGAAATATATATTTTTGGATTTCACCAAAGAGTTAGAATCATTCAAAAAAATTTATTTTTTACTAAATAAAGATTTATTTAAATAATAATAGAAAATAAGAAAAATAATCACAATAAAAGTTAATTAAATATTTAATTAAATATCATAATTATCATCAATAAGAAATGGTTTTATTTAAAATATTGTCAAAAAATTAAGATGATCCTAAAATCTATTTAAAATTTTTAAGATTTCACCGAAGATCAAGATAATTCTGAAATTAGTTAATAAAATTTTGAGATTTCATCAAAGAGTCGAGATAATCTTAAAATTAGTTTTAATAAATAAATAAAATATTCTATAATGAAATTTTGAGAATTTTGTAAATGATTAATTTTTTTGAAATTTTGTCAAAATGTAGGAAAATTTGTAAAATACAATAATAATAATAATACTAATTTCACAACAAAAAAATATTTTTCATAAATAAATTTTAAAAAATTAAATATAAATATAAAAAAGATCATATCGTTAAAATTAAGGAATAACATATGTTTAATTGGTACCTTTATTCAAATGGACGACATGAGAGTGTTAATACATTTTTCACTCGTAATTTTATTCTCAGATCCAACCCTTATTTTATAGACCTAAACATTTTTTAGTAAATCTTAATTAATTTTATAATTTTTATTAAAAAATAATATTTTGAATGATTAATCACACCTTACAAAAATATTTACGACAACTATATGAATTTTCATTAAGTTTAGTGGTTGAGCCTCGAATGAAAAATTATTATGACAATATATATATATATATATAAGTGTATTAAACTGCAAGATCTTAATGGGAAAATTCATAAATCGGAACCAATAAATTTGTTTGGCATCAATCAAATCCAAGCTTCAGCTATATCACAAATTAAATTTTAGTGCAATTGTTTATAAATTTCTCATTTCCATGATTGTTTGACTTTGCAACTGATTGCTACACCAGTGAAAGTGATCATTGGCCAGTGACGTGCATGGTCACCTTTGAATAGTATAGGCAACATAGATGACTTTTCTCACTTTTTATTCCCTTCGGAAAGTTTCCTCTATGTATAACTCCTCAAGAATTGCTTACTAATTCTTCAAGTCCAGTGTTTTAGATGGCGATCGACAACCGTACAGTTGTTGCTTGAATGGAAGGCTTTCCATGAATCTGGAAATAAAAACACTACGATTGAACATTAGTTTGTCGAGTCTCACGTGTTCAAAATTCAAATTGAAAAGTGATGGAATTTGGGGAAGACGATTTTGAAAAGTAATCTGATATATGGTTGGGTTAACTCTTTCAGAACTAATTCATCCGAACCATTCAAACCAACAAGTCTCCTTAAAAGTTCGAATTTTCAATTGTTTATTTGGTCAACCGTTTGCAGCCAAGTTATGCTCAGTGTGGCTAAAAACATATATTGAGATTTCATTCCAAGCTTCGCCGATCGATCCAAGAAACTGCAAGCCTCGAGTTAGGTACTTAGATTTGTTTTGCATGAAGATTATTGAAAGCATGGTTGAAAGTTTCAAAGTTGATGAGATAATTGGAAGTGTCTATAAATATCCATGACATGCATTCCTCAAGAGCATCAAACAACACAAAGCTTGGACATCTTATTCTTGTTCTCGATAGAATTTTCTCATAGTTAAAATCCTCAAACCCAACAAACTCTCGATCTCTCATCATAATGGGAAGTATACCACAAGAAAATTTTGCTATGGCAAGTCCAAAATCACCCCTTCAAGCTCCCACCTATGGGAACTTAATTACTGTTCTGAGTATCGATGGAGGTGGAATTAGGGGGCTTATCCCCGGAACTATTCTTGCCTTTTTAGAGTCTCAGCTTCAGGTAGCGAGAAAATTGTTTTGAATATATTCATTGATATTTGGATTCTTAAGTAAAAACAAAAAAAAAAAAAAATGCTAAGTTTTGCCTGGTGTGTGCATATGAATATACTGCTGTTGACATTTTGATATAATTCCTTTGTATATTAATTAATTTCATTTTTGGCACTATGGCAATTTACAGAAGCTGGATGGAGAGGAGGCTAGACTGGCAGATTATTTTGATGTCATTACTGGGACTAGTACTGGTGGCCTCGTGACTGCCATGCTAACTACCCCAAATCCGAATGAGGGCAATCGTCCTCTTTTTGCTGCCAAAGATATCAATGATTTCTATCTTCAACACTGCCCAAAAATCTTTCCCCAAGATAGGTAATCAATCTCGACCTTGTACTTTGTAGTTGTGAAAGAGAAAAAAGCCATAAATGTCTTGCGCATATTATTTATCATGTATTTACAGCTAACATCATTTTGTTTGTAATTATACAACAGCTCACCATTTGCCCCAGCTACGAATTTGGTCAAATCTTTAACTGGCCCGAAATATGACGGTAAATATCTGCACAATATTGTGAGGGAAAAATTGGGAGAAACCCGATTGAACCAAACATTGACAAATGTTGTCATCCCAACATTCGACATCAAACAACTCCAGCCAAAAATCTTCTCCTCCTATGAGGTCCATTTCTCATCAATACGTCTTACAAATTTAATTTATTTCCTTTGCCATTTATTTGATATATGATCATTGTGTAGGTGAAGTACAATCCTAGCAAAAATGCTTTGCTCTCCGATATATGCATTGGAACTTCTGCTGCCCCAACTTATCTTCCTGCCCATCAGTTTGCAACCAAGGATTCCGCCGGCAAAGTTAAAGAATTCCATCTTATTGATGGTGGAGTTGCTGCTAATAATCCGGTAAGTTTCTAGATGTTTTTAACGTAATGGAATTGGTTGGTGTTACAAGTTTCACAAAAATCTTAATCATATATTTTTAATCGATTCTTACAGACTTTAGTAGCCATCAATGAAGTGACAAAAGAAATCAGTCGAGGAAGTTCTGATTTCATCGCTATAAAGCCAAACGTCTATACTCGCTTCCAGGTTTTATCCTTGGGCACTGGTTCCCAAAAATGTGAAGGGAAGTACCATGCTCACATGGCAGCAGAATGGGGTCTCTTGGGATGGTTGACCTGTGAACATTCCACTCCATTGATGGATGTTTTCATGCAAGCAAGCAGTGACATGGTCGACTTTCACCTTGCTACTGTTTTCAAAGCACTTCAATCGGAAGACAGTTATCTCCGTATTCAGGTATATATAGATTCATTATTTTTCTTCCGAAATATTCATATATAAAAATTGATCTATACCTAAAGTAAATTAAAAAAAAATGCAGGATGATACACTATGTGGAGCAGTCGCATCTGTGGACATTGCTACAAAAGAAAACTTGGAGAATCTTGTAAAAGTTGGGGAAGAATTGTTGAAAAAACCAGTTTCCACGGTGAATTTGGATAATGGAAAATTTGAGCTTGTTAATCAGGGTACCAATGAAGAGGCTCTTATCAGGTATGTGTATATATAGAAATTAACTATTCTAATTTCGAGTTTTCGACAATTTATTATATGTAATGTAATTGTTGGCACCTTATATTTTACTTTTGCTTCTAATAATCTGCAGATTTGCTGAAGTGCTATCTAAGGAGAAGCGGCTTCGTGACATGAGATCACCACATGGAAACCTTGCCGCAAAGAATAACAAATAATCAATATTCTTAATCTAGAATTTGAAAAAATTTTAGGTCTTTAGCCGGCCCTGGTTATTTGCCTTTGTAATGAATTTCAAAATTCTTTTTATTCTTTTTCTTTGAATAATATGTGTACCCAAGATGGTTCCAATCAATTTGTGATCATTAATTTCATTATTTAATTTATTGATATAATATTTCGTACAGACTAATTTTGCTTTTTTTTTTTCCATTAAAAATTATAACCTCAAGAGGATTGTACATAACTTCGTGCTTAATTAGCTCTGTACATAATACAAACAAACACAAACATATCAAAGCCACATGATGAGAACATAGAGGTTTTATTAAATTTATCCATTTAAAAGGTGAATTTTTGTAAGATTGAGGTTCAATTTTTAGTACTTAAAAATTTTCCTTTTTCAAAATTTTTAAACTTTGAACCTCTTTTGTTAAAAAAAAAAAAACATGATGATGATATTGAGATCAAGTCGGTAATTTTACTCATACTTATAGGGTTTAATTTATAATTTATGCCTTTGAGAACAAATTAATTAAATTAATCCCATATAAGACTTAATATATGTCATAATCAAATAACTCATCTAATAATCTATTTATTTATCTTGATATTATTCCAATATAGTTTATGGGTTCGCATTGTTAAATTAAAATAAAAATTCTGAATCCAATTAATTAATTAAGGTATTAGGGGTCTAAGACCAAGTTGGTATATCCTGACTAAGTCCTCCAAGTGAACTTGACCTTCATATTTTTGGAACCAGCCATGCAACATTGATGGTCTCTAAACCTTTGACTATAGACTTGTCAAAGGCAAATAATTATGTGGAACCATTGGTAGCTATCACAATCGAAGTTGACCAGTAGAGGTTAATAATTAATATACATAGAGAAAATCAGTGTCAAATGAGGAAGACATGTCCGCTAGCTGATAACAAGCGTCAAACTAAGGAAAAAAAAATTGCTAATTCATTCTCTTTCTTTCTCAAATACGTTATTATGACTAACTATATATGTTGGCTTTTAATTCAACAAGCCGATGTTTTGTCATCGGAATCAAACATATCGCAGTGACTCTTCATTAAGTTGAATTTGTTATTTTGCTTGTGTAATGTAAGTATACATAAAATAATATTGTTTTCTTCAACATCCTTGAAAAAAATTCCTGATTTGGTTGGGGTTTTGACGAAAAAGTTGGGATGGGAAAATGGCCTTTAACATTTTATTTCAATGCATTGTTTTTTTTTTTTTCTTTTTTTTTGAAAATGGGCAAAGCATTGAAAGTTTCAAGGTTGAGTATTTAGTTAAATTGTTAATCCAAGAATAGAAAATTAGTCAAACTCAAATTTAATTTGCTAAGATTTCACTTAGACAATTAGCCAAAAAAAGTCATTGCATCACTTTCTTTGATCATTCAAATAAAATATAAACAATATCTTTATTTAGCACAGTGCATTGTATTATGACTTCATATGTAAATGACATTTCGGTCAATAACGTATAAATTGTAATTTTTCCTAAACAACATGCGAGTAATTTCAAAATGTATAATATATAAAATAAAAGCCAACTAGTTTGGTCCTTCATTTCCTTTGTATAAAAAAACTGCTCTCTCTAACTATTTTATGAGATTTTTTTTGTTCTTAAGTTATGACGATTTGTAAACAAGGGAGTAAATTGAATTCCAAAAAAAAATTGAGGAAATTAAGAATTATTATTGATGAAACACTTACAATCCAAAGAAAATGATAAAAATCCTATATATTAATTCTCATTTGTTATCCAATTTGGGATTTATTAAAGCTAAAAAGAAGTTGAATAAAGAATCATAAAATTGAATTATTTGTGCTCCAAGAGCTTAATGCAACATATTCTCTAGCAGCAATTAGGGAAAATCACTAATCCTTAACACTATTTTGATGTTCTTCTTGAGCTTTCCCTTGGGATTGCCGACGATGCCTCTCTTGGGACGGTAACTTTGCAAACCTATAAGATCAAAATTTCTTCAAATAAATACAAAATGATTGATTTATGCAAATTTGGCACAAGAAATTGCAAAAGTTTTTACTCTACCTTTTAAGAGCTTCTTCATTAGTCTCTTGAGTGAAAGGTTCAAAGACACCGGTTTCCAAGATAGAAACTCGCTTCTCTAACAGTCCACCAACTTTCACCATTTCATCCAAATTCTTCTTAGTCGCTACGTCGACGGAAGATACATCCCCACTTAATGTGTCATCCTGGTTACAATTTTCAACGATGTTAAAAATAGCAGATTAAAGTTAAGAATTATATTTTCCATTGGAAGCTTAGGCTGAGTGCAAATGCATGGATTGTACCTGAATACGGAGGTATTTATCAGAATGAAGGGCTTCAAATACTACAGAAAGACGGAGGTCGACCGTGTCTCCACTTGCCTGAGTACATGCATCAACGAAGGGGATGGAACCGCCGCTAGTTAACCAACCTAACAAATCCCATTCCGTCGCCTGTTTGCACTAAATTTCTCTTCAGCTTTTCGAGAGCCAGTCCCCAAGGAGATAACCAGAAATCTTCCACATTCCAAAGTTTTAATTGGAAAGAAGTCAGGGTTTCCCTTAAAGATCTCCTTCGTCACTTCGCCCATTGCGACTAAAGTCTGAATGGCCAAATTAAAATATACATATATTTAACTATAATTGCTATGGCTAAAAGAAATGATTACTTATTAATTCAGTATCTTTTGAGATTCACTTACTGGGTTGTTTGCAGCCACACCACCGTCTATGAGGTTATATTCTCTCACGTTCCCTTTGTTATCTTCGGTTTTGAAGTAATGGGCAGGGAGATAGGTTGGTGCAGCTGAGGTTCCGGTGCATATGTCCGACAGTAAGACATCTAAACTAGGTTCACTCTTCACCTGGTTGAAGCACAACATCATAGGAACTATTTCATATTAATTTGACATGATAAGGCAAAGGTTCATGAAAGGTGAGTTTTGAAGAGAATTAGAACCTGGTAGCTTGAACCTTCCGAGGTTGGTTTGTGAAATGGTGATGCCCAAAGCTATCCTCAATTTGTTTTCTTATGACATTCATTACATGCACATGAAAGTGGAGTCTTGGGGACACTTTATATATATATATATATATATATATTTATTTATATAGACACTTATTTTGTTCGAGAAACCAAACTTGTGTTAAAATATATTGGAATTGATTTTCAATTTTATTCAAATATGGTCGAATATGTTAATTGAATTCACCAAGTTATTTTCATACTAGATCATTTTCATTAAGCTTTTAAATTATTATTATTATTATATTTTCATTTCTTTCTTTTGACACCTTTTTCTTTTCTTTCTTTTCTTGCTGACATTTATTTTCTTCTTTCTTTCATTTTTTACATAAAGTCACAGCGCATTTAATGTACTAAAAATCCTCTATTACTGCCTAATTTTACAAAAAGGAAGAACCAAAAGTCTTTAATGGTGCTTGAAAATCCCTTGGGTTTTTGGAAAGAAACAACATAAACTTTGACAATTTGAAATCTTAATCCCAAAAAATTTGAGATTTGAATATCAGAGAACTCCATAAATAGAGCCAATTTTTACAAGCAAAGAATGGAGAACCTAGAGGAGTAAAGGAAACACACGCAAGTAATAAAAATCACAATCCTTTTTTAGTAAAGGAACAAAAAAAAAGCCAATTTTTTTTTTCAAAAACTAAAACCAATAAAATCGAGAACATTTCCTTTCATTTAGGGTGTTTGGAATATTTTTTTATAAAAAAACTATTTTCAAAAAAAGATTTGGAAGACAAAAAAGATAATTTTGATTTTTTTTTGAATTTTCAAAAATCTTTTAGGGTCGTTGGAAATTGTAAAAGTTTGAATATTTTTACGATCAGATGAATTTTTTGACTATCAAAATTTGAAAATTAAGTTGGGATTTAGGAATAGTTTGAATTTACTAGGGCTATTTGAAGTTTTCGATGATGGCACAATGGCGACTGGCCAAAAACTAAAAAACAAAGGCTATCGATAAGAGAAAATTTAAGTTTTAGAGTCTTTCGGGTAAAGAGAGAGAAAGGGAAAAGGAAAAAAAATGATTTTGGCTTTTTACAGGCCCTTTGAAATGATGTTGTTTTGATTTGTTGACTTGCACTCGACCCGCATCGGGATTTGCGTGTGGACTCATGCCTTACTCGACACAGTGGTGAGGTTCTTTTTCTTTTTTTTTTTTTTTGATTTGATTTGATTTGATTATTTTGTTTTATTTATTTTATGATATTATTATTTATTTTATTTTTTTTAGAAATAAATAAATAATGGTAAAAATATAAAATTAAAATAAAGGGTAGGTTTATTAAAATAAAAATGAATAAAATCTTAAAAGGTATAATTATAAAAAATTTAATTATAAAACAAAAATTTTGAATTAAGTTTTTCTTACAAGCAAAATATTTCTTAAACTTCGCTAAAATGTTAGGATAATTTAAGAAATTATAATAATAATTGATTAGTCGAATAAATATTCCAAAAATGTAATTTTTTAAAAAAATTGAAAGTGTTCAATTTTCTTTAATTAATGCAAGTACAAAAAATATTTTTAGATTTTGCCATATGAGTTGAGATAATCTAAAAATTATTTTTTACTAAATAAATATTTATTTAAATAATAATAAAAATATTTCATTAAATAAATCTTTTAATTATTACAAAAAAAATTTTTTAGATTTTACTAAAGAGTTAGGATAATTAAATTTTTTTTATTTTTTACTAAATAAAGATTTATTTAAATAATAAAAAAAATAATAACAAAAACTATAAAAATAATCACAATAAAAATTAATTAAATATTTAATTAGATATTTTAATTATCATCAATAAAAAATAGTTTTATTTAGGATTTCATCAGAAAGTTGAGATGATCTTAAAATCTGTTTAAAATTTTTAGGATTTCATTGAAAGGTAGGGATAATTCTAAAATCAATTAATAAAATTTTGAAATTTTGTCAAATAATCGAAATAATCCTAAAAATAGTTTTAATTAATAAAAAAAAAATCCTATGATGAAATTTTCAGAATTTTGTAAATGGTCAATTTTTTTCAAAATTTTTCTTAAATAAATTTTTTTATAAATTTTGCTAAAGTGTTGGAGAATTTATAGAATATGATGATGATGATGATGATAATAATAATAATAATAATAATAATAATAATAATAATAATTTCACAACAAAAAAATATTTTTCATAAATAAATTTAAGGAAATTAAATTTAAATATAAAAATATATATCGTTAAAATTAAAGGATAACACATGTTTAATTTGTACTATTCTTCGAACGGGTGACATGAGAATGCTA